AAATTCATTGCATGATGGGTTTAACTGATTTAAGTTAATTATATAACAAGCTGACAAACACTGTGAGTGTAGAAAATACGTAATAATTAATGAAAGAATATTAAACACACCATAATCATTTATATATAATGATTTACCACAATATTTTACACTTTATACATTGCATGGTAAGATACATGAGTGACTATGAGGTTCAAAATTTTCAGTATCTTCATCATCTCTATGTGTAGAGTAAGTGTTTTTTGAGTAGTCATCAAATGATAAATCCCCAAAATAGTTTTTCATGTAATTGTTAACATGCCACCCATATGGATCCAAGATTGGTTGACGTTGTCCACTAGCAAAATCATTTGAAGATCGAGTCTTGGATTCTTTCTATGAGCCGCTCGATTCCATCCCAAAAAGAAAGGTCAAAGACTCACATTCTCACGTGAAAATCTAATTCTTGCAAAAACAGTTCAAAACAAAACAATATAAATATACATATTTTAGCATATTATCAAAAAAACATAAGCAACACGGCGGTTAAGGCATTGGAGGAATGAAATAGCAAGGGTTTGAATCCCCTTTGCGTTGTGCTTTATTATTATTATTATTTTTCCATTACATCGATATTTTTGATATTTTCGATATTATAGCGATATTTTGACAAAATATTGCTGAAGTGTGAGCGAAATTATCGAAATCGAAATTTTCCTATATTATCGATATTTATACAATATGTGTATGGATAAGTTCCGAAATATCCGTGACCCGAAAAAACGATAATATCCTCGATATTTCGTTGATATTATTGATATTTTAGACTATGTTCAAAAGTCACTTTTGGTCTCTGTAGTTTGACACTTCAATCACTTTTGACCCCGTAGTTTCAATTCCGTCAATTTTACCATTGTAGTTTCATATTTGTAGCAATTTAAGGACAATCTTAATTTCTGTCAAATTATTCTTAACTTTTGTTATCTATTCAGGGGTATTTTGGTCCAAACTTGCATCCCCTCCCCAACAAGCCGACACTCAAGAACAGTACCACCCAACCCCAGCTAGCCATCATACCCTTGTAACTAATTGCCACCACAGCCTCCCAAGGCCGCCCTAACCCCATGATATCATGGACTCATAGATCTATCTATATTTAACAATTTGTGCAAGAAAAGTAGTGAATGTTAAAATAAATAAAGGGTAAAGTGCCAAAAACCCCCTGAACTATAATGCTTATTGAAATGTCCACAATGAATTATTTTTTCAGCCAATTTAGCCCTTATAATAAATTTTATTGCCAATTTAACACCTAACGTCAAGTTTCTACATTTTCATCCAATTTTTCATCAATTATAAGGGTAAGTTTGTCATTTTACAAAATACAATATTAATAAAAATGTTAAAAAAATGTAAAAACAAAAACAAACAAAATTCAAAAAAGAAAAAAAGAAAAAAGAAAAGTAAACACTGGCATGTTGCAAAACCTCATCCCCTCCATAGCCAAGTAAGGTCCTCCCCCACACACCCCTACTAGCTAGGAGCCATGTCGGTACAATTACAAGCAAATCAGAGCAATGGAGAGAGAGAGAGAGAGAGAGAGAGAGAGAGAGAGAGAGAGAGAGAGAGTACAATACATGCCTTTATTCCAAAATAGAGGGTTTTAGGTCGGCTAAGGATAGGGCTTTTGGGGATTCAATAGAAGAAGTTGTTTGAAGTAGCTCTCTTGTTCTTGGGTGCTAGAGAGGAGCTGGGTAGAGAGATAATAGATCCTCCCCCTAGGATGGTAGCTTCTATTCCTTGATTGGCCTGTTAAATAAGGGATTCTCTCCTTTACCAGAAACTCAATTTAGCCCCCAACCTTTGAAACTCAAATCACCTAACCCTGATGCTGTCGCAGACCATCTAGTCATGGTTTGTAAATTTCTAAACCCAAAACCCAGAAAGAGGAAGGAGAAGAAATCCCTAAACCCAAATTGGTTTTCTTTAGAACATTGCAAATTGGTTTGCTTAGAAAAACATAGCAATGTTCATGGCAGTGTTTCCGCTGCTGCTCTTTCACTGGAAAACCCTTGCGGATGTGGGATTGCAGAGATAGGGTTTGGGGGATGGGATGCAGAAGATGTTGATTGCTAGGGTTATTTATTTTTTTTTATTTTTTTTTATTTTAGTTTTTAAATATTTAATTATTTTTAACGAAAAATTGGATGGAACTACATGGGAAATAACTGCTCTTGATTGTTGGCGGGTTAGGGGAGGAGATGCAAGTTTGGACCAAAATACCCCTAAATAGATAACAAAAGTTAGAATAATTTGATGGAAATTAGAATGGTCCTTAAATTGCTACAATTATGAAACTACAATGGCAAAATTGACAAAATTGAAACTACAAGGTCAAAAGTGGTTGAAGTGCCAAACTACAGGGACCAAAAGTGACTTTTGACCAAAATTGTAAGAAAGACTTGGAAATTTTTCTTGAAACTTTGGAGGATGTTTGTTTAGTTAATTATGTATTACTTTATCACGAAAAATTGGAAGGAATCCATTGCATGATGGGTTTAACTGATTTAAATTGATTATATAGCGAGCTGACAAACACTACAAGTGTAAAAAATATGTAGTAATTAATGAAAGAAGATTAAACACACCATAATCATTTATTTATAATGATTTACTACAATATTTTACAATTTATACATTGCATGGTAAGATGAGTGACTTAGTAACACATAGGGATGACATTTTAGACTGAAAAACCTCAAAAACCAACCGACATTATACCGCATTGGAACCGCAATAGCTAAAACTGAGTGAACATTGCGGTTTTAGAAACCGAACCTCAATTGCGGTTGCGGTTGCGGTTGCGGTATGTGATTTTGGCAACTCGCGGTTACCGCAAACCGCAAATATATATTTTTTTTTAAATTGCATTTTAGTAGTTAGATGTTGTGTTTTAATTTGGTTGAGTTTAATCTATTATTAATATGCTTTTATGTTGTTTCTTTTGTGTTGTGTTGTGTTATAGATAGAGTCTAGCCACTCTAACACACCTAATGCCTCTAATCCCCCATACACAAACCGATACACCCGAAACACAACCTCCACTCCAACTCATACAGAAGAGCTTCTTCTTATAATAAAATCCACTCACCACCACTTACACTTGAGTTCTCCTTTTGGTTTGTAACTTTAATTAACTTTGAATTGGATTTTTCTTTAGGTTGTGAATGCTTGAGAAGTTGAGGTTGAGGTTTTGTGAATTTATATATGCTTGAGAAGTTGAGGTTGTGAATTTATTTCTTTAGGTTGTAAATTTATATATGCTTGAGAAGTTGAAGTTGTGAATTTATTTTTTTAGGTTGTGAATTTATATTTTTTGGTTAAAGTATGCTTGAACTCAAAAAGCTTCAAAACAAGCATCAAACCTAGGCTTAAAAGTGTGGAAGATTGAATTTTTATGACACAAAAAGACCACATTTAAAGATATAAAATTGTCTAATTTAGGCCCAAAATATTCAAATTGGTTTAAACTGTTAATTCACGGTAGTAAACCACAAAAATCGGTCGGTTTGCAGTTTCAAAAATCACCTTACCGCAAATAGTCGGTCGGTTTGCGGTTCGGGAAAAAATTTGCGGTGACCGAACCGCAACCACCCCTAGTAACACATATAGTTCCTATAAAGTTCAAATTTGAGTTATTTACACTAACACCTCTTGAGGTTTTCGGCTTTTTTACAAAACTCCTTGAGATTTTAGAAATTACAAGAACACCCCCTGAGGTTTTAAATTGTTTTCACAAAACTATTTTTCATCCAAAGATGATGATTTTATACAAAAAAAAATTCTCCAAATGACAAAGTTGGCATTTGAGATTAGATTGCATATACTTTATTAAGGTTAATTTTGTCATTTGCATACGTTTTTTTTTCAAATGAAATCATCAATGTTTGGACAAACAATCAACGAAAGGGGTTTTGTGAAAACAAATTGAAACCTCAGGTGGTGTTCGTGTAATTTTTGAGACTTGATGGGGTTTTGTGAAAATACAAGAAACCTCAGGGGTGTTAGTGTAAATAACACTTCAAATTTTTCATTGTCTTCATCAACTCGATATTATCGATATTATAGCAATATTTTTGGTCAAATATTACTGAAGTGTGAGAGAAATTATCAACGTTGATATTTTCCGATATTATCGATATTTATATGATATGTGTATGGATACGTTCCAAAATATACTTAAACCGAAAAAACGATAATATCCTCAATATTATCGATATTTTAGATTATAAGTGAATGTAATCCAATTATAAGTAAACCACTCAAATACAAAAACCCTAAAACAACAGTGGTATCATATCCTTATAGAAATACAAATGTAAAATATATTCAGTCAAGTTTCATGGAGTATTAAAAAATTTATACATAACAATACTTATCAACACATACACTTTTTTTTTTCCTTTAAATCATGTAAACTTGTTATGTATGCGATGTCGCAATTCATTTGAGACAAAATAAAAGGCATCTTGTTAAATAAACATCTCCTTATGTTTCATTTTACGTTTCCACGGTTTTCTTTTAAATATAATTTTTTCTTCAAAATTTTACCAGTATTGATAACTTGTAAATATTTCTATAATTTTGAACCCTCGGTATTTTATTGAACACCACCAATACTTAACACCTTGGCAGGTACCGAGTTAAAAACTGAAAGGATATTGTAATTGGGTCAAAATAAACTTGTGGTAAGAGAATATGTAATCATCAAAAAGCTTGTCTATAATTTTCTTCTTCTTTTTTTGGTTGTTTTTACAGCCTTTTCATTTTGCATCTTGCACTTCTAAAAGCTTGTCTATAATTTTCTTCTTTTTTTGAAAAAAAATTAAACGAAATCGTCATCCATGATGTGGCTTATGTATGTGCCTAGAAATATTATTATATAAACCTTGCACACCCAACACCTACAAAACCCATACACACAGCCTCAGCAGAGCAGGTCCATCTCCATCTAGCCACCCATGGCTGCTCAAATCACCGGCACCGAAGCCCAAAACTCCTCTTCCTCTTCCCTTCCCCTCAACGGCCGTGTGGCAATCGTCACCGGCGGCTCGCGCGGCATCGGCCGCGCCATTGCAACCCACCTCCACTCCCTCGGCGCCAAGCTGGTCATCAATTACGCCTCCTCAAACTCAACGCAAGCAGACCAATTAGCTTCCGAGCTCAACAGTTGCGAAAATACCCAATCCAAAGCCATTGCAGTTCGAGCCGACGTCTCAGATCCCGAGCAGGTAAAGCATCTCTTCGACAGAGCAGAGCAAGAATTCGAGACCCAAGCCCACATCGTCGTTAACTGCGCCGGAATTTTGGACCCAAAGTATCCAACTTTGGCCGAGACGAACGTGGAGGATTGGGACAAGACCTTCAGCGTGAACGCCAGAGGGGCATTTTTGGTATCTAGGGAGGCGGCGAGGAGGCTGAGACGCGGCGGCGGCGGGAGAATCATCGCGATTTCGACGTCTCTCGTCGGGGGGCTGATGCCAGGATATGGAGCCTACGCGGCGTCGAAGGCGGCTGCGGAGACGATGACGAAGATTTTGGCGAAGGAGCTGAAGGGGAGCGGGATAACGGCGAATTGCGTGGCGCCGGGGCCGGTTGCGACGGAGTTGTTCTTCGCAGGGAAGAGTGAGGAGACGGTGAAGAAGATTGCGGAGGCTTGCCCTCTGAATCGGCTGGGGGAGCCCAAGGATGTGGCTCATGTGGTGGGTTTTTTGGCAGGGGATGCTGCGGAGTGGGTCAACGGCCAAGTCATTAGAGTCAACGGTGGATATGTTATCTGATCAATCAAAGTCATATTAATTTTTCTTTATTGTCTTTCCTTTTATTCCAGCCCACTTTTGTGATTATAATAAGACAATCATAATGAATTAGAAATGTTATGATTGAATATCAAATACAAAGCAATAGAATATAACTAAAATAATAAGAGAAGCACTTGCTGGTGAGTTCTGTGGCGGATTCTCCTGTAACGTATAAAATTTGATAAGTCTAGTCGCTTTGTTTATTTTTAGTAATATGAACAAAATATAAAGTATTTGGTCGATATTCGGTGTACCGGCAATGTATTGGTACTTGATATCAGCCAATTTCTCTCCTATTTATAATAGAACTATTTAGACACATTTATAATCTTAGTGTTTTTTTTGTTTGTCAGAATTTATAATTTTAGGTCTAGTTTGGCATTGCTGTGTTGTGAAAATAATCATTGTCAGATTTGCTGCGATAGAAATCAGCTGTTATAGAAAGTAGTTTGGCGTTTGGTAATTTGTTAAAAGTGATTTTGATACAATAATCAATTTCTCTGTGTTTGGTAAATGTTTGTGTAAAAGTGTGTGTGAGTTGTGTATAATGACTAAAAATGACATTATGTTGAAATAACTTTTCTATTCAAGTGTTTGGTAAAAAGAGAAACAATTTTACTTTCACTTATATAATTCTTGTGTTAAATATGTTTTTTTAACCATCACACCCTAAAAATTATTTTAATCATAAAATAAATAATGTGTGGAAAACTATTTTGACTGTAAAATTCTACACTATAATTTGTTAGAAAAAATCCGTAATTTTTAATTTTTAATGGAACAAATATTGGACTCTTTTTTTGGGTCTGAAAACTAATATTGGAGTTTGGGACCTTTTGCAATCAATCTAGCATTGTCAAGCTGTTTATTTAAGGAATCATAGCATGTGGAATAGAAAGTAGACAAGAGGATTTTGTGGAAATTGTGAAAAGAAATAAGGGTTGGGTAGTTTGCAAAAATTCATTAATGTCCTAACCGATTCTAACCTAATTCTCAAGAAAGTGGAAACAAAAATCACCTCCACTCTTGCCCCTAAATAATCAATGTCAAACGGGTACTTAGTATGAAGCTTAGGTTACAAGAATTTAAATAAATATGAGGAACCCACCAGGCATGGAAAGCATAAAAACTTCCCTAGCACAGGTACGTCAGGTCAGCAAACCACATCAGTATTCTAACCCAATCAAATGTCGCCACTTGTCAAGCATTTTGACTTCTTCTTTCATATTCCCTTTCATTCTCTCCCTTGAAATGCTTCTCCTCCTTTCTTTTCGCACAACAAGTGGTATCAGAGCCTAGTTACGACGGTATTAGTTTATGTCCAAGCGTTCTTTTAAACTTAAGAGCAATGGTGTGTTGATGATGACAGGTGACAAGGAGGGAGAAAGTTTTGGTATGAAATTACCATGTGTTCAGTGAAAGTTCTGGTATGAAATCACCACATGTTCAGTGCGAAGGTAAGGTTGAAGCCATTCACTGGTAAGAATAACTTCATGCTTTGACAAAGAAGGATGAAGCATGCCCTTAAGCAATAAGGTCTCAGTAAAGTGTTGGCAGGCAAGGAAAATATGCAGGTAACCATGACAAATGCGGATTGGGAGGACCTAGACGAGCTTGCTAGAGGATCCATTGAATAACATCTAACCGATGAGGTGTTGTGTAATGCGATAGAAGACACCGTGAAGCAGACATAGGAGAAACTTGAAGAGATGTTTGCAGCCAAATCATTTTCCAACAACCTCTTCTTGAAGAAAGGGCTTCACTCTCTAAAGATAGAGGTGTGCGCAAGCGTGATGGAGCATGTTAGCGCCTTTAATAGGTGTATTACTGACTTGCAACAGATGGATGAGGTTTATAAGTTGAAAGACAAGGTTGTGATGTTATTGACATCCCTACCACCGTCTTATAAATACTTCCGCATGAAGCTTATGTTCGGGAAGGGAACCCTGAAGTATGAATATGTCATGCAAGACATCCTGATGCATGACAAAATGGTTCAACGTTCTGGAGGTGCCTCTCAAGGTGAAGGTCTTGTAGCAAAGTCTGGAGAGAGAGGTCAATCGAGCAAGCTCGAAGGCAAGAAGAGCAATAGGGGATGATCAAAATCCAAGGCGAAAGACGGTTGTTTTGAATGTGGGTCGAAAGATCATTGGAAAAAGAATTGTCCTCCATGGAGAGAGAGAAAAGAAACAAAAGGAAGAAGCCGGATGAAGCCTAAGTCACGAAAGATAGCGACGATGAGCTTTTATTTACTGATAGCATTGTTAATATTCATGCACTTGCTATCACTTCCAAGGTTTCATCTTTTGATTGGATTTTGGATTTCGAGTGCTCATATCATATGTGTTCAAACAAATCTTAGTTTGACACGTATGAGGTGGACTATGACGACTAAGTTATGATAGGGGACGACTCGGTTTGTAGAGTCGACGGAACGAGTACAATTAAGATGGAGATGCATGACGACATGGTTAGGACATTGGGTATGTTTTGGTACATACCAAAGTTGAAGAAGAATCTCATCTCCCTCGATACTTTTGACAAGAATGGCTCTTCCTACAAGGCTAAGGGAGGGAAGCTCATAATCTCAAAGGGTTCATTTGTGGTTATGAAGGGAGAGATTCAACTTAACTGCCTACATCGACTATGTGGTACAACAATGTCTGGTAGAGCAGCTATATCTACCAAGAAGGACTCAAAGGTTGATACTCAACTTTGACATTTGAGGCTAGGACATATGAGTAAGCGAATAATGCAAGAGTTGTACAAACAGAAGCTTCTAAAGGGAGTACACAGTTGAAAACTTGAGTTTTGCAAGTATTGTACCATGGGGAAGCAGTCGAAGGTGACATTTAAGAAGCAAGAAAAAGAGAATAGGAGCACGTGAGTGTTTGATTATATTCACTTAGATGTGGGGGGCCCCACACTGGTCAAATCATTGGGTAGAGCTCGCTATTACGTCACATTCTTGGATGATTTTTCTAAGATGGTTTAGATCTATTTCATGAAGGAGAAATCCAAGGTCTTCACCAAATTCAAAGAATGGAAGGCGGAAGTAGGGAACCTTACGGGAAGGAAGATCAAGATCCTAAGAAGTGACAATGGAGAAGAATATAAAGATAGCAAATTTCTGGAGTTTTGCAAGAGTGAAGGTGTCAAGAGACATTTTACCTTGAAGAAGACGCCCCAACAAAATGGATCCACGAAGAGGATGAATATAACTCTCATGGAGCGTGAGAGGTACATAAGGTTTCATGCCGGCTTGTCCAAGGCATTTTAGGTTGAGGTGGCTAACCACGCTTCCTGTTTGGTTAACCGGTCGCCATCGAAGTATCTTCAAGTGTGCGAAAGATGTATGGTCTAATAAATGTTTTGAGTATACTAATATGAAAGTATTTGGATGCAGTGCCTATGCTCTCATCCCTAGTGATGAGAAAACCAAGTTGAAACCAAAGTCTCTTGAGTACATATTCCTCGGCTTTGAGAGTGGTGTGAAAGGTTTCAAGTTATGGGATCCAGTGAATCGGAATAAAATACTCAATAAAGACTTTGTGTTTGATGAAAAGACCATGCCTATGATCAAAGTCAAGAAACTAGAGGTGAATGAGGATGTTGTTGGAATAAAGACAACCATTACAATTTCACCAAGTAGGGTGTTCGGGAATACTCAAAGTATGCAGCCAATTGAAGAGGTTCATGAGGTGGTGGACTCTGATATTGAGGTGGAAGAATTTGGGCAACAACAAACTCAAGATGAAGAAGAAGAAAAACCTCAAGATCAGGTGGAGCCGCCATTTATAGCTAGGTCCAGGCCCAAAAGAACCATCAAACTTTGGCAATTCATTATGCTCTAAACATGAGTGAAGGAGATCCAACCACATTCCAAGAAGCAATTGAGAGTTTGTAGCGGGAAAGTTGGATGGGTGTTATGATTAATGAGATGGAATCTCTACATTGGAACTCTGTTTGGGAGTTGGTTCCTAAACCCAAAGATCGGAAGGTGATCGGCTACAAGTGTGTGTTTAGGAAGAAGGAATGGATACGTGAGAAAGAGCCAACTAGATTCAAAGATCGTTTAGTGGCCAATGGGTATTGACAAAAAAATTGAGTTGATTATGATGAGATCTTCTCTCCAGTGGTGAAGCATTCTTCTATACGGTTATTGCTCTTTATAATGGCACAATGGGCCATGGAAGTAGAGCAAATGGATGTGAAATCGGCGTTTCTCCATGGAGAGTGAGAGGAAGACATTTACACGAGTCAACCTCAAGGGTTCATTGGAGCGAGTAAAGTAAATTTGGATTATAGGTTGAAGAAGTCTCTGCATGGGCTCAAGCAATCTTCAAGACAGTGGTACAAACACTTTGACACATATATGCTGTGGATTTGGTATAGAAGATGCGAACCGGATTGTTGTGTGTACTCTCATGTGTTCAAGGATAGGAAGATCATCATATTGCTACTCTATGTGGATGATATGCTAATTGCGTGTCAAGACATGTCAAATGTTCGAAATTTGAAGATTCTACTTGGGAAAGAGTTTGACATGAAAGATCTTGGTCCCGCACGAAAGATCCTAGGAATAGAAATAAGGAGAGACCAAGACATGGACAAATTGTGTCACAAGGCAAGTACATATCTAAAGTACTTGAGAGATTCAACATGTTGGATTGTAAGCCCGTGTCTACTCCTTCGGCGGAGCACTTTAGACTAAGTGCCCAAGAGGATCCTTCTAGTGACAAAGAGAAAGATGAGATGAGTAAAGTTCTGTATGCAATCGCGGTAGGGTGTCTCATGTACATAATAGTTTGCACACACCCTGACCTAACTCAAGCTATGAGTGTAGTTTCAAGATACATGACAAATCCAAGCAAACAACATTGGAATACGGTGAAGTGGATATTTTTGGTATTTGAAAGGCACCAAGAAGCTTGAGATTTTTTTTGAAAGACAACAAAGAAAGGCATGTGTGTAGTGTTATGTGGATTTGGATTATGCGAGACATAGACAAGAGGAGATCCACCATGGGGTATGTTTCACTTGTGGTGGAGGACCAATTAATTGGAGAGTGATGCTACAATTAGTTACTGCCTTGTTTACTACTGAAGAGGAATATATGGCAGTAACGGAAGCTTCTAAGGAAGCGTTATGGCTGACAAGATTGGCTAAAGAGTTCAGGATGGCTCAAGATTTGGTGGTGATACAAAGTGACAGTCAAAGTGCTATATGCTTAGTCAAGAATCAAGTGTTTCACGGAAGGTCTAAGCATATTGATGTCGGATTGCTTGACCAAGCCAATCACAACTGGGAAGTTCAGACATTGCTTGAGCTTGCTCAATCTTGTTACTTGCTAAAGATTGAGGTAGAGCTCTGGGGACTTACTAGGATGATTTTCAAGAGGCTTGAAGAGGTTCTAGTGGTCAATGAGTTTCACAAGGTATATAGGCTCGCCAAGGTGGAGATTGTTGATGTTGGCTTACGTAAAGATGTGGAAGGAGTGAAGGAAACAGACGATCAAAAGAGCTATAGTAGTTTTGACTAGGCTTTGCTGCTCGAGAGGAAATGACAGGCGCTTGAGCAAAAACTACATGCGCTCGAGTGCCCTGTTCGAGCGGTAGAACTTAGAATCGAGCTAACACAGGTGCTTAAGCGGCACGGGTGGCGCTCAAGCAGGAGGCGTGAATCTAGCACGTATCCATATCAAATCTGGACATATTTTCTCATAGTTTTGGAGTCCTTTAAGTTTCCTATTCCTTGTATAATTGTACTAAATCCCTATAACATATAAATAGGCACTTTAGCTCTAGGTTATTGTAACGTGATAAAGCTAAGGCATCAAATTAGGTTTGAGCCAAGGGTGAGAGAAAAGAGAGCTAGGGTTTGTGAGAGATCAAAGGGGGTTCTTTATTGCAACCAAAGTGGTTCTTTCATACTTGTGAATTTCTTGGGGATCACCAAGAGAACGTAGGCACAATGTTGAACCTCTATAAATTCTTGTGTTCTTTATGTGCATGTTTACTTTTCAATTGGTGTGTGCTTTATCTTTGCATGGCTTTTGTGTGAAAGTTGCATAGTCCATCAACGACAAGGTCTTGGAGTGTTTTCGCACAACAAGTGGTATCAGAGCCTAGTTACAGCGGGTATTAGTTTATGCCCAAGTGATTTTACAACTTTAAGAGCAACGATGTATTGACGATGGCAAATGGCAAGGAGGGAGAAAGTTTTGGTATGAAATCACCACGTGCATTGAGTACGAAGGTGGAGTTGAAGCAGTTCACCATTTTTTTTCCTAGAAAAACAACCACCACTTTTCTTGGGAAGGAGAGATACAGAGTGATTGCGTGTCCTTAAATCCAATTCGGAATTATTATCATTATTGGTATTGTTAGGGGTAAACAACACCATCCCTTCACACAACAAATCCATCTCATCTTCCTCCATATAATTTGGCTGCCCCTAAACCCAAAACTGAAACTAAAACCTTCCAAATTATGAATCAATCAAAATATGACAAAAGAAAATAAGGAATTGGTTGCTCTTAGTCTTACTCCCAATTTCAAAGCTTGCCTCTTTGATTTTTGATTGGTGTGGTTGGTTGGTTACGAGTACTAGTGCGCTGCAGAAGAAGACATTATGAGATGGATGAGGCAGGCACTATAAACTTAGCTGGGTTTCTTAAGATTTGTAAGCATAGTGACTTTAATTGGGGGGGGGGGGGGGGGGGGGGGGGGGGAGAGAGAGAGAGAGAGTAGGGGTAGGAGGAAAGTAAGAAAGAAAGAAAGGAAAAAAATAAATAATAGGAAAAGGGAAAGGAGGAAAAATGGGGAAGTGTATTGTGATGGGGGTCCTTTTTCGATTTTTTAATTTATTCTAATATAAAATTTAACTAAGATTTAAAAAAAAAAATGAGGGATTGAAGTTTTAGACATGAAGCCAAAAAGAAGAAGATAAATGAGCGTTTCAGGGGAGATAGAGAGGAAGGGAAGAGGAAAGGAGAAGTCAAAATGCTTGATAGGCGGCGGTATTTGATTGAGTTGGGATATTGATGTGGTTTGATGACCTGACACACCCATGCCAGGTGAGTTTTTCTCCATGGAAAGGTACAAGAATTGCATAATGCAAAATATGCCCCACAAAACTATTGAGCAATCGAGAGTATGAGAAACTTCTATGGCCACAATCATGTCCAAGAACAAATACAGCCCAGAACATGGTCCCTTGGGCAACCCAATAGGATGGCCAAACAAACCAACTGCTTGAGTATTTGGCTATGGCTGGTAATGCAAAAATGACAAAAATATCTCAGAAAGCATAACTCAAAGACCTCCTAGGTCAAAAGACGGACATGACCCCTTCTTGAGGCTTTCTTAGGAGAACTGACTTAGGGATGCTAAAGACATCCCACAACTTGTGCACGCCGTCTATGGTGATTGCATTAATAAAGCCATTAAGGGACCACCTCTGATTAGCCTCGCCCCTAGCCCATGAGTAACTGGAGCAGGTTAGGAAGACGAAATACTAGGGACCTTAGGCCCTGTTTGGTAAGCTAGACTGGATCGGATTGGACAAATGTGGGACAAAGGTCAGGGGTGCTTATGCCTACCAACATCCCCCAAAAGAAACTTAGGGATTTTAGGCCCACTGGCCACCCTTTAGAGCCCAAAGAAAACTTAGGGCCAACTTGCTTAAGTACAGTACCTTTAAATGCTTCTTTGGGGAAAAATTTGACTTAGGCATAGGAGGATGGTTGGTGGCCCCACCACTACCTCCAGTGAGCCTTTCTCTGTCTTCTTTCTCAAGAAATCAACATCCATTATCCGCAACAGTACAATCCCCCCAAAGGTGCAAGGAAAAGAAGCTTGACAGAAGTACACTTCTCAAATACCCCATTCCAAATGACAACCTGCATTCTTTTCAATTAACCCTTAATATGAAGGTGCCGTTTTTGTTTTAAGGGTATAGCCACATGGTACTAAACGGAGGGTTCCACGTACCCTGTTCCAAAAGACAAACTGCTTTTGTTCAATTAGATACCTCGTTCTTTCAAATTTGTTACAATGTGATTCCGTCGTTAGGGTTTCCATTAGATCTCTCTGTTAGTTGCCAATGTGGCACTATAGGTTCCACATTTTTACTTTTTTAAAATTTTAAATTGATTAAAATATTATTTTTCGAAAAAAAATTGAAGAAAAAAAAAAAGAGAGAAAAAAAAAAAAAAAAAAAAAAAAAAAAAACCAAAACCCCAAACGTCCTTCATCTTCGATTTTCTTCTCTCCTCATGACCACCACCCTCCAACCCCCAAATCCATCCCCCAACCCCACACAGCCACCCTCCACCCCAAACCCATCCCCCCTACCCCCCAGCAACCACCCAAACCCATCCCCCCTACACCCCAGCAATCACCCAGACCCTAAAATCTGTTCCCCACCACCCACTGGTGGCGCCCTTCTCCCTCTCTAGAGAATCTGCAGATCTCCTCTCTCCCACCTTCTTCCTCAGACTCCATCAACCCGCATTCTCCTCCTAATCCCAAAACCACAACAGCAATCCAATCTTCCTCCTCCTGCATTGACGAAACTACCCTCCTCAACCTCTTCAAATCCCAACAGAGCCACCTCAACTTCTTCTTCCAGCACCTGGACCTCTTCCAAACCTTATCCTTCGCCCACACCATCCTCCTCCAATCCTCCGTCGACACCACATTGTTCTTCTCCGGCCTCAGCAAGTCTGGCTTCGTTGCTCACAAGATCTCTCAGACCCTCATCTCCCTCAGCATCCACTTCGACTTCCTTTCCCCATCGATGCCCTCCACGACAATATGGACGCGCTCTCTAAAAGGACGTCTTGGTCCTAATCAGTAAGTCCAATGCCACCGAGGAGGGGTGGGTTTAGGGAGGAGGGTGGTGGGCAGTGGACCAGATTTTGGGGTCGGGGCGGGGGGAGAAATTTTGGGGAGGGGGAGTTGGTGGGTGGTGGTCATGTGGTAATGGGGAGAAGAAAATCGTGGTGGTGGGAGGGCACTGCTTTTGGGATGATTTTTATTTTTCTCTTTGTTCAATTTTTTTGCAAAAATAATATTTTTATCAATTTTTTTTAAAAAAAAGTAAAAAGTAAAAAATGTGAAACTCATAGTGCTGCATAAGCAACTACGAAGAGATCTAACGGAAACTCTAACGACGAAATCACATTGTAACAAATTTAAAAGACTGGGATATCTAATTGTAAAAATTGAAAAGACAGGGACTAACATGTCTTAATGATGAAACTAAACTGTAATTAACCCTCATTAAATTACGGTATACTTTTGGTGAAACTAGTTTCATATTCAGCTGCTTATTTTTATCTCCATCACCCTAAAAAAAAAAAAAAAAAAAAAAAAAAAAAAAAAAAAAAAAAAAAAAAAAAAAAAACGAGGGAATAAAAAAAAAAACAACCACCAACTTAGATAATACTTTCAACATTTTCAACGAACGGATCATCTTCTAAGCAGCAGGGAAGGCATTTCTGAGCTTCTTTCGGAAGACAATTTGAAGGGCAGAACCAACCAATGGCCAACTTGTGACAATGGAAACATAAACAAGCAACCAGAATGACCATCTACTCCGTTCGGATAGCAGATCTAAGCATCTTCTAACAGGAGTAATTACATCAAGGGGCTTAGAATCCTTCCTTCTAGTAGCTTGTTCGGAGGATTGTACAATTTCCGCCAAGCATGGTTCTGGCTTTATCATATGGTCATCTTGTTCTCCTGAGACCATTTCATTAGTTTTTCTCTGATGAGTCTTTTGTTGTTCAAGTACATCTTCTGTCCTATTTTCTTTCGCCTGTTCATTGCCCACTGCTGCTACCATTCCATCTTCTGCAATGTTTACGTAGGGACCTTGATCTATTGAAGAGTCCAATGACGACTGTGTGCCAAAACTCACCATCTGAAAGATACATGAAAATCAACAATATTAACTCACATAAATGGCCTGTATTCTGCAGCATGTTAACAAATACAAAACCATGTTATAATGCATTTTAAACAACAATTTGCATGGACTCCTGGACAGCATCAGAGATTAAACTTCATCCAACCCAATAACTAAATTACTTCATTAAGCACTCGAAGAATAAGGTAAACAAAATTATACCTTTTGTACATGCATATATTGGCTAGAGTGTAAAATCTTAAGAAATTCATCGGTAGCCCTAACCCACCTGCAAGGGAAACAAAATTAATCACCCATGTCAGAAAGAAATTTATGATATGGCTGCTCAAAATGCACACAAAATTTGCCAAAGCTATGATATGTCTTAAAGCATCATATTAAGACAAGGTTAAAAAGCCAAATCTATATGAAATAAATAAGCAAAATAGGCTAAAATAGCCCCTTTGTAACTTGTTCTAAGAAAATAGGAGATAGTGTATGGTCATTTTGGAATGACATATTGGGAAGTGGCTATTACATGTGTGTGTTGCAAAAGGGCTATTTTAGCACAAAACCCAATAAATAATGTAATATTATACAGGTTGCTACTAGGCGTAGCTACATAGAATCACATAAAGTTTGTGGAAAAAAAATACATATTTTAGCTCAAAGTGGTGACCAATGCAAAGATATGAGAAGCGTATCCTAATAACATGGAAGCATTAAGTACCAGATACCAGCAGCAGTTAATCCTTCAAAGAAAGCCAAGTGTCCTCCATGCTTTGTTGTAGCCAGAACAATATTTACATTTGCCCTATTGAAGACAAATACCAAGCATGTGCTTAAATGATGCGAAAGGAGAAAGTGATGAATGAAACAAAACACTACAAGAGGAGGTCCACCTGCATTCCTCCCAAGGAATGGCTTCCCTAGTGCAGACTGGATCATCTAAAGCATTGATACAGAGTAGCGGCACCGATACATTTCCTACATAATTAGCACTGGTACAGCGCCTGTAATATGTGTCGACAGTCTGAAAAATAAAAAATAAAAAAATAAGGCGATTAATAAATAAAATAAAATAGAGGTCAAGTGAGAGAAATCATTGAGATCTCAAACATTAATACCTCAAATTTCCCAACAACGCAGGTAGCATGCTGATCAAAATCACGAATAGAACGTGACTTTTGAAGCACAAGATAAGAACGAAACAAACATCAGTAGAAGGCAGGTGACCATTCAATGATAGCATATGTATGTGTGTGTGCGTGTGTGTTTATATATATATATATATATATATATATAGAGAGAGAGAGAGAGAGAGAGAGAGCTAATGCCGACAGTTTCACTTGGATGTTTTCCTGGAATATGAAATTTGGCATGAGTGATATAAAACCACGACTAAATTATTATGGTCCATCTTGGCTTCAAAACATGAACCTACGAGAAGAAAATTACTTGTAGGTCCAAAAATGTGACAAACTATTAATTTAGTATTTCATTTCCAAAGCAGAAAGGAATGAGAACAATATTGTTTATTCTAATCAATTGTTTCTAGCAGGGTGCAAAGATTTAGTATCAACTTTATTTGCTGCTCTTACAATGATGCTGAAGCTCACCAGAAAAATCTTAAACGTGAGAAAACACCAACCTTTTTTATGCCTTCCCAATTAGCGAGGCGAAAAAAGTGAGGCTGGTGTCTGCATTGAACATTTATGAATTTTCATAAATATTCAAATGAAAGGAGGACAGAAACTATTGTTTAAACAAAAAAAATCATACCTTCTAGATATTTCACGAAATGAAATGAATGTGGTCCGTACACATGCAGCAAAATATATGCATATAAAGTAGGACATTACATGATGTTTTATGAGCTATTTACTACCCAATTAAAAGGGAGGCACAGACATACAATTGTGCATAGCCTAGAAGGCCAGTTGTTAGTGCTTTGTCATAAAACTTTTGCAACAGCCTACGGCCTATAAATCTGTCACCAATCTGCATAACAAACAAACAAAAAATGATAAGTAACTTAACTCAGTCAGTAAGAAACTACTGCTGATGCCAAGTGAATAATTACAATTCCATGATACACATGAAACAAGCAAACAACCTTTTTTTTGTTTTTTTTTAATTTAAATTTTTTCCACAATAGCATCACGTGCAGAAATTTTTTATTATCTAGTAACGGCATATTTGGTAACTTACAGACAGGTGTCAGAGAGGGGAACGCAACAGAGAAATGGTTTGTTTGCCTAAACATGTATGGTATGACTAAAGATGAAAATATTGGCATGTCAGTCAGATATTTCCAAAGATATGTTGGGGTGAAAAGATTTTAGAGTCGCTGATACAGCTAATGGGCTAATAGAATGTGTTTCCAAAATGTGAGAAGGCGTACGTGACCAGAACTAGCTAGGCCCAAAAGAACAACGATGCCCATGCAAGCCCAATCAACAAAAAATATTAAGGCATGCTGTACCGCACCATGCAGCCCTAAACAAAATTAAGAGATTCCAAAGACACCTAAAGGCTCATTGACACACTTTTGACCCCTGTTATAGTCCGTGCTTAGCCAACCCATGCGATGTCAAGCCACGCCATGCAACCAAACATGTGCCATACTATTCTGCCGTGGCAGCACTTAGTTACGTCCCACTTTATAATCTGGGTCATAAGGATCATCCACGCTTAAAATATACACCAAGTCCATGCCTCATTCCATGCCCAAGCCTAGAGAAATCAACAGGTGTGGTGTGTGGAGTTTCTTCTAATGGAATTAATTTAACTGGCTAAATAATGAATGTTGAAGTCCAACATGTTAAGACCCAATTTAATGGCCCAAAATAATAACGATGCCCATGCAAATGCGAAAGAATAAAAAATATTAAGTCATGTCCTGCCCCAAACAAAATCAAGAGATTCCAAAAGACGACCCAAAGGTCCATAGAGTCTCTCCTGGGTCATAAAGATCATGCACACTTGGAATGTGGAGACGCCCAACCCGGCATAAATCACGAGGTGGATAAGCCAACTCCAAGCTCACTTGTACGATGTGATTTAGAAGGTACAAATAAAAAGAAGGCCTGAATTACTTATAATAGTTGGAGCAGGCCCAAGCCTAGTTGGAGGAATGTGGGGCCCACAGTCGAGCATAACAATACTACGGGCCAGAGAACATCTATTCTACCCAAATCCCATGCCAATTATATGTACAATGCCCAACGGCCTGTTAAATTTCTCTCAAAGCCAAGCACCCAAGAGCCCTCCAAGAAGGAAAAACGCTCCTCCAATGGGAAGGGTAGGCATTTAATACCAAGATCGGAATTATGCATATAAATAGGGCCTCCCTTCTCCTATAAAGGGGGTTAGAAACCTGAAGGACAGAAGGAAACCCACGCCAATATCCAAACTTCAGCTTTGGATTTGCTAAAGACTTCAGACCAAAATACTTGACTCCATACAACACATGCAATGTTTCTCACTACTTAACTACAACTCTTGCTCCTACATCACATGCTCACTAGTGATTCCATTTTGCTGAGATTAATGCTTGATTTCCCTGTCTTTCTCATGTAGCACCACTGCAGGACCACAATGGGGCCTCACCTGAGCCATCTATCATCAAAACATCTCAGGCCAAACTCCCTAGTCTTTGAACCCAAGGGTGGTACTCTGCTCTATGTCTCTGCATCACTAAAGAGCAGACAGAATAACCCAGCAATGGGGTTCAAAAAGACAGACATACCCTTGTAAACATAGATTCTAGTAAGAATGTCAAGGGCATTTAGGTCATTTTTAGAATAAGTCGTCATGTAAAAAGATAAAATCAATTTACACACTAGAATGCTAATGCTTAAGCATACTCTTAAGGGTTAGGGATCTAAGTTTCTATGTTCTAAGGTTCAAACCACATTAGATAATTACGTAGTTTCCTGAACAAGAGAATTAAAATTAAAACGTTTTCACACATTATCATTCAAGTTGGACAAGAGGTTGTACAATAACAAAGATGGACAAAAGATGGACAAGAGCTCAGACAATAACAAAGCAAAAACAAAAGGAGAAAAGACAAGAAGGAAATACAGACAAGAGCTACCCAACACCAAAAGGAGATCAAATGCCAAACAGCAGATTTCAACTTTTATATGTGTCAGGCTGTCAGCTACAAGCCTACAACATATGTTGTTTTCACCCTATATGTGATATGTTACCATGGACAAACTATCTAAGAATTTTATATGTTAAATTGATGAACCATCAATTTAACATCTTCTAAAAAAAAAAAAAAAAAAAAAAAAAAAAAAAAAAAAAAAAATAATATGATTTTGGGTTGTTTTACTACAAAGAGCAACCCAAGTGAAACACGTATGGGATGCAAGTCAACTTTCTAGACCCAAAGTGCAATTTTGTAAGGTGTCTTGGATTTGGCAAATATGTTGAACACCTTATGAAATTGCACCATGATGGCATGATGGCATAGGCTATAGCAGTAACTACATCAAATGCACGGTGCCTTATTATGCACAAAAACGATGTACTGTTGTGATATACATTGGTCTCTTTGCAATGTACTGCTAATTGGCTTTAAAACAAGCATATGCTAAACAACACCTTACTATGTGCAATAAGGTATTATAAATTGCAGTTCTTTACATATAGTTCCAATAAAAATATGGGTAGAGCTGCAATTTGTGATATACAATGGCTTTTGTGAAATGTACTCTACTTGGGTTTAAAACTAACATATTTAGCAATAACTAACAAAGTTCAGACAAAACAAAACAATGTCCAAAAGTTAGAACACTGAATTCGGAACCCTTAACAAATTTTAACCCTGGCATCCATAATATGTTCCCCTATTATTATCCTCAACTGGCCCTTTCATTCATGATCACAGACACAGGTGAGGGCAACTAGTATAGCCTAAGCACAGGCAAGAGTAGAAAAGAAAAAATTGAGAGAAAGCCATATATAGAAAATTGTGCACACATGCTGCCAATGCATTTAATCACAAACCAGAAACATTGCCCTTCACATAATCATTAAGTTGAAGCACTAACCAAAAGGTCCCAAGGAGAACAGATAGCTACAGCCCCCGCAACAGGAACCTTGTCGCCATCCTCCCCAAGATATTTTACCTGAAATCAATAAAGTAAACATGAATGTTAACATCACAAGTTATTAAAAGAAAGCAAGAAATAACGTAACAGAGGACGTTAAAAATTAATACTATTTTGGAATTATTTTAAAAGCTAATTAAGTCTTTAGCTCGGTGATTTGCAGATTCAAAAATTCATAATTACTAGAAAATGAGAATAAAGAGAGATAATGAATTTGACTGCTATGTCATATCAAACATACTACAAGATTCTGTTTCATCTCAAAGATTAGAATATGACTAGAAATTGCAAGGATGAGTGCCTCTACAACAAAAACAAAGTGTTGGCACCTACACTCATTCCAACAAGAATAGTCAAATGCAACAATAAAAGATGAAATCTAGCTTTATAATTACAACAGGCTTAAAATAATAATCTGACATGGTCAAATAGCATACCAAAATGTTGGCACCTATACTCAATCCAACAAGAAATAAAGGAGCGTTGGGGTATTCATCATGGAGGTTACTAACAACTGTCCGTAAATCCTCTGTCCATCCAGCATTATAAAAGCAATCAGACTGAAATATTAACAAGAAAAAAAGCAGGAATTACCAATATATTTCATTGAATTGATGAGAAAACTGATTATTCAAAGAGAAATTGACTATAGCTTGAAAATTACACAAGGGAGAAGCATCATACAACCTACCAAATGTCAGCCTTAGAAGTTAAAACACAATACTAATGACGAACATAGTTGGTAGATTTTTTCAAACACTTCCATTACAAGGGAAATTGATACTGATTTTATTGATTTTAGATCCCAAGAGGAATAAATAAATAAACAATATAGGCCGAAAAAACAGTGAGGTACAGAATCAGCCGTCAATTCATTAGAATTTGATAATACTCTTCCATATAACTCACTCAATATTCCTATACAAAGTCTCTTTAGAGATAAATGTATCCACGAACTGAATTTAGCTATAAAAGTCCAATTTCAAAAATGGCCAAAGCCAAGAATATGTATGAATATTTTCTAACCCATTTCTTTCATTTTCTTTTTTGCTTTCTAGAAAATAGCTTATTCCTCTTCTTGTTGAAGAATTCATTCGCAAATTGGCTTGTTCCCTAGAAGATAATTTTTTTTTCTTCTGGTGTGCTCTCCTCCATCAAATTAGTTCATTGCCACTCTCCATGCTTCAAAAGAATGGTATACTCCAAACCACCAAAATACAAACAGCTTCCATATACCAAAGGATTCATTTATTTTTTAATTTTGCTTCTTTTCATATTATACAGCTATCTCTTGGAATTAATCATTGAAGCAAATTTTAAATGATATAGAATTATCAGAATTTTCAAATATCTTATCCCCAAATTACTAACGACCTTGCTAAATTTAAATAGGCCTGATAAGAGTTTGGAGAATTCATAATTTCAGAATTCTGTTGTAAATCATTTTTCCACTCTTTGGTGGAAAGTCCTCATGATTCGATTTTCGAACCGTTAAAGATGATTTGAAAGGCTAGTGTACCAACTATGGTGCACATTTTTGTTTGGTTGATGATCCATGATAAAATTAATATTTGTGACCCCCAAAATTACCTCTGAGTCTGACTGTTTGTCTCAAGATTTGGTGTTTTCATTAAGGTTACGGTATGATGTTCTTTCACTACACAAATTTGGATTAGGTTTCTTTTTCCTTATTGTAGAAGAAATAAAGATTTTATTACACAAATTTGAACTAAGTTATTCGCTTAGAAATTTATATTCTGTGTTAGTTGAGGATTTTCTGGAAGTAGCTTATAAAAGAGAATTACTATCTGGTGTCGGTTCTTTGGATTGTTTTGGTTGGAAAGGAAAAACACAATCTTTGAAGAAAAATAGGTGAACTTAGTTAGGGAACAAAGATCTTTAAGGCATCATCATGGACATCAATGTCAGAATATTTTAGGATATCGCCCATCCTTGAGTCGGCAGGTGGTACAAAATAATTCCAATGTTTTGTTTCCAATTAAAATAAAATAAAATCTACTTTCTAAACACTGACTGATCTATACCATATCCACATATTCCTAGTACTTTACAAAATCTATGTATAAAAATAAAGAATTTTTAGCCTATACATGGCGTGGATTGTAGTGCCATCCCAATCTAGCCGCTATACCTTTGGGATGCCCCAGTCTGCTTTGCAGACACAACTTTGAAACTAGGGCACCCCGCCGAGGGAAGCAGAAACACTAACAAATAGCTAGGGTAGGTACCTTTGGAGGTTTCAAACCTTGGACCACATGGGAGCAAACCATGGGCCTGACCATTCCAACTATCCAATGTTGGTACACCTTCAATACTTACTCATGAAACATGATAAACAATTTTCTCTAATTTCCATGGTGGCTACCAATTTTTTCCAGTGGGTCAAATCACTTGACAGAATCATCAGCAAAGAAAGTTAACCACACCAAAGTCAATCATTATAAGGACTCAAAAAAAGGTCCGAAAAGGTTATAAGATAAGATTCTGGTATAAGGACTCAAAAGCAAGTACAAAATGGTTAATTGAAAGAGCTTCTTACAGTGACTGAAATGCCACCCAATCCTCTGTGATTGCTAACAACAACATTCCATCCCTTTTTGGCTGTATTGAAAGCAAGATGCTTTATATACTGCAGCAACAACAACAAGTAACATCAGCCAATCAGCATGTATGCAGACAAAACATCCTACACAAGGCAAAAGCTTATTAAGGAGATTATCAAAAGTTGAAGCCCTAGTATAAAATAGGCTGTGATTTATATCGTAGACTATTTATTGAAGAGTTAAATTGACGAACATGATTCATTCATGTGACTCCTACATAAAGGAGATACAAAACATTAAAGCTCTTTGTTATAAACTTATCACAATCCCTTTGGTATTAAATCTTTGTAGCTTTAATTTGATAAGATTGTGGTTCAATTGATCTATATAAAGAGTGGTGAACCTCAACCATTAGTATAGAGTCATGAATTGCATTGATAGATCATAAGAGGCATATTAATGAAAACATTGTAAACATTGAACCGGCACAAGGACATAAACGGTGAATGTGGGCAATCAGAAATAACTGTCTACATCAATGTGCATCTCATATTCACTAAGGTCAAGAGGCTCTTAATCCAAAGAGGAGTGTAGAAGCATGTTTTGTCTCTAGTCACTTTGACTTACCAATGGATGAGATATCAATAAATCAGTATCTATCTTGGTAAAGAGGCAGCATTGCTGAATCTTACTCATAATCATTAAGTTTCCTATAGAAAAAGAAAAAAATTAAGGGTTGCGAAGTGTTTCCTAGTGTCACTGTAATGAAAAAATACATGTGAAGCATAAAACAACGAAGATAAAATGGATTTAAACCTAGGAGCTAGGTCCTCTCCTTATTACTGTCCTGATTTTTATGTAGGACAATAGTAAGAGCAGGGAATAAAAGAGAGATCTGAACTCACTCCAACCTTTGCAATCACACCAAATGCATAAAACTTTTACTATACACAACAAAGGTTCATCAATATTGAACAAGGAATCCGCTTCTAAAACAAAACTAATCATGGAACCTAAAAGCCAACTCCACACTAATAGAGATACAGTAGCACAGTAAACATGAAAATTTGACAAAAAATTCTACCATACAGCTGCTTCCCAATCTGATAAAATAATGAAAGAACTCTTAAACTCTGAAGCAATAGATGCCCAAGAACAAACCCTTTTCCATAAGTGCTCCACCTCACCAATTATATTCTCAAACACCTTCATATTCCTCTCCACCCATACAACCCAGAAAATTGCCAACATGTAACCGCCTCACATTACAGCATATTACACGAAACAGGAATAGACCAACTTAAGCCTGCCTCCTTGAGTAATCATGAACTTAAAGGCTCTCACTCACTTCTGGGTGTGATTGATTAATGCCAGCGTATACGGAATGGTGTGGGGCAGTGCAGAGCGTAAAGTAAAGCCCTTGCAAAGATCTTGAAGTTCCCCTAATGAGCTATTCAGTAATAAGTTTTTAACAGCCCATTTTCTGTAGCTCAAATTACATTGGAATAATGTTGAAATTGGAAGGTTCTATCTTAAAGTTTTTTGGAAGAAAAAACAAAAGAAAATGATCATGAAACCCAGCTGAGACTCCAAGTTTCAACATTTCTACTTTAAAGTTTCTAGAGGCATTTAAATGCTATTTTAACTTCTTACTTAGCTTAAATAAAAAAAATTCATTAGAATCAACTATGTTAACACAAAGATTCTATTCCTAGAGACACCAGAACTACAACTGGAAGCATTTACAGACACAATAAAGAATCTGAGTACCAATGAGGGTTTAGTCGTAAGGTTTACTCCAACATGGTGCTAGAGTTTTCTACCTTCCAAAGATTGACCCAGTTTTAAACCCAAGCCTGTGATGTGGATTTTGGGGATTCTGGTTATAAAAAATTAAAAATTAAAAAGCAAATACAGAACAAAGATGAGTAAAAAATACACAAAAATTAAAGATGAAGCTTACAGCAGCATCAGAATCGCTGGTTAATCCAGGAATCACCAGCACGATAGGGGTGGTGTCACCTTTCGGAATAGTATTGTTCGTGCTAAAAACACCTCCCGAAACTGCAGTATAGCACATACATGGATCAAAAAATAGAGACGATTCACAATAATTAATACCACAAAATCAAAAGTGACATAACACTTTAGGCAAAATCTTGATATATAAATATGTGAAGCAGTAAACAGATAATCGGGAGTTGGCTGACAAGTTTACTAAGTACAAAGTAGTAATTAAGTTTGGGATGATCAAATGGATCTGTCTGGTAGTTATTAATGATGTAAGGGGAGTGTGTTGGGGAGTTTAAAGAGTCTGTTTGTCTAGTTGGTATTAATGCTTTCTGGGGATTAGTTACTACAAAGGATGTCCATCTAAAGCCAACTGCAACCCCCAGTTCAACCAGCTGAATTGACTTTCAGTACCCTTCAGTGAAGGAAATATGAAACAGATGTTTAAGAGAAATAAGTTGAGGGTATGATCACCAGCCATCTTCATGTAACCAACACAAGTAGGAAATTACAAGAACGACCCTAGTAAGTCTAGCATAAAATATCAGAACAAGATGGAATAATTAATCTAACACAAACTAAAATTGATAATGGAGAAATTTTAAAACCCAACCTGCCAAAGTGAAAAAGCAGGGAAAGAAGGAATCTTTTGAAACCAAACAAGTTCCCTTCTTCTCCCCCAACCCTCACCACATCACAACTCCTCTCTTCTTCCGACACGCACTTTCCTTCCTATTTTAATTTAGTTTCATTTCTGTCGGATAAAAAATGCTCATTTTGTTTTCCCAAGATTTTCTGAAAATTTCAGCAATGTTGGAAAATATATTGTCAAAGTTTCAGTTTGATATCTCCAAAATTTCCATAAAAGTCCATTTCCCCTGTTTCAAGCCAATGCTGACATGGGAAAGATAAGTTGACGACATTCTGTAAAGAAAACAATTTACCTTCTTTTCCATAGCACTTCAACTCTTCAGTTCAAAAGGTTTGCTTATATTGCAAGTTCAGAAAAATATTTCTATGTTAAAGATGTTCATGCCTTTATTGTAAGAAAATGCACACATCCTTTCTAGGGCTACCCAACATGTATTTCAACGATCAGAATGATCTATGTTTTAGGTTACACTTCAGCATTATCCTTCAATAAATTGTCCAGATTTGAAGATGTTTGGCCATCTAAAATGTGAAGGGGAAAAAAACAAAAAAAAAACAATTCGTTCGATAAAACTGAAGCAAAAATATGGGTAATTTTAGCTGATTTTTTTCAAGTATAACCCTGGAAGAGAATCTAAAAACTGAACGGTTCCAATCATTAGTTTACAGCACAGAAATAAGATGTCCTTAATTTAAGAAAAATAAGGACATCCTTTCTATAGAAAGCCTCAAGGTCAAACTATGGAACAAATGAAGTCATCAATTTCTATATCAGCGTACAATATAAAAATAAAATAGATGATCCCAAGTAATGAACCAATTACAATACAACTTACAACTGCTTTCTATGACAACATTGTGATGCAAGAGCATCTAATGGACTTTCCTAGTCTAAGGGGGCTTGTTAGCCAATACGGCTAAGTATTAGTTATTTTAAATTATTAAGTTACTTTGATATTTGTTTTCCTATTCCAATTAGGATTTGGTTTACTTTCCAGTTTGGTTTAATTTCCTTTGTCGTTAGGTTTCCCTTTATGCTAGGGTTTGATGGCTATATAAGCCTAGTTATGATTGTAATAAGGGTCTTTTATCAACTTTATTCAGAAATTACATATTATAGAGCTTCTCTTCGGTCTCTATACCCAGAACTCAACAAAATTTGTTCCAACTTCTATCCTATTGCTTTATCTGCCTATTCTCTGTGTTCCCTATTCTACCCGGTGGACACATTGTCACTGAGGAATTAGCAATTAATATTTGAACATGAAAGGCTGTATTTTACAAACTAAGAAGCACTATAAAATCTAAATACCAGCCTACATTACACATACTATCAACAGAAGCCAATCTGGGTGCTAAATAGTACGTTATATGAGAACACAATACAAGACTGAAGAAAAAATAAGATACCAAGAAGTTTAGACTTTAAATAGTAAGAAAGTAAAATGTAAGAAACAAAGATAACAACCAAATGGAACGTATGTTTGTATTTTTACTCAATTCAGAAACATATAAGTAAAATGATAACGAGTATAAATTATCATGCATTCATTAATGTCTATAAATTGATATATGTATATGGTAATTACTTTCAGGTAAACAAACAATAGTTACCATCAGAACTCAGTAGCCAATCCAAAGCAACAGTTCCGCCATCAGATAGATTAAAAAGTTTTCTGAGACAGAATATACATGACTATCTGTTAGAGGAAAGCATGAACCAAAATTCTAAAGAAAAAAGAATCTCTGTGACAGTTGTATAACCTGTGTAGGAAAAAAAAACATATTTAGAAGAAACACACAAAATTGTAGTGTAAATAGGCTATTAAGAGACTCTTGTATTCAGTTATTTTTTTATGAATATAATTCTAGGACTCAGGAATTTGGACTCAACAAACTATAAGAATTTACTAGTCCTTTACTATTTTAAAAACTGAAGCCACATCCGAAGAAATTTAGCACTAACAACACAGCAGGTTTTTTTTTTTTTTTTTTTTTTTTTTTTTTTTTTTCTTTCTTCCCCTCCCCCCCCAGTGGCACATCAAATAGTACTCAAAATATTCCACTGAAAACGCATGCGCACAAATGCACACAGACCAGCCACACAAAGTAACCATAAATTCCAAATCCTGAACTGACCCAGATGGTGGACTACTGAAATAAAAAGGTTTTTTTAGGTTTTAGATATAAAAAAATTTTCACTTTTGGAAAAAGCCAAAGCTTTTTCAAAAAAGACAAAAAAACCGCTCAACTTTCAAATTAAAGACATGCAAATGTATTGGATTCCTTAGGAAATCTAAAAATAAATAAGGGCATTTTTGTCCATTTTTGCTCACAAAGCACTAAAAACAAAGCCTTCACTTTTCAGTGATTTTGTACCTTCGGTAGCTGAAAGCAGGAGGCCGCCCAAAGAAGCTGAGGAAAACAGTCTGAAAATGAGGGCTTGAGAGCCATGGCGTCGCCAAATACCTGCAAACCAATCCATATATCAATTGAAAAGGAAAAATAATTCAACAAAAATGGAAACTAGTTGGTTATTGTTAGTATCGGGACCTGGCATGGAGAATCCGGCACTTGGAAACGACGCCATGGTAGATAGGGGAGGAGGGATTGTAGGTCAAGCTGACGGGGCTGCCTCTGAAGCCATTGAAGAGGTCTTGGAGGAAATGGAATTCGAGGAAATGGTAGAGAAATGCGAAGGAGAATGCGAGAAAGGCGAAGAAGTAGTGAGAAATGGGAATTAGAGAGAGATCGTTGAGCAAAAGTACGTAGGGGTTTTCTGAAACCTCGCCTAGGACCCTGCAATCCATGACCGGAGTTTCTCTCTTCTTTTCTTTGTTTTACTTTTTTTTTTTGGGCCAGAGAGTTTCTCTCTCTTCTGGGGAGCAAGATCACGTTTTGTAGGCACCTTCGCCATTTGTCCTTTATGAAGCCACATGCCAATTGATTTGTAAAAAAAAATAGAAGATAACCTGCTATAACAGGTCAAGGTAATAGTTTAGGGAAATTGACTTACATACCCACTAAATACGAACTTTAATAAAAAAAATAAGCTTATTTACTGTAGTACCCCTTGAATTTTGGTTAAGGTGGTGACCAGAAATCGCTTTCTGAGTACAAAAGCTTCGGCCCAATAATCCCATGATCAAAACGTTATTATTTGTAACATTATGACATAAAAATTACCATATTTGATTGCTTCCTCTGGTTCTGTTTTTACTTCTTCCATTTTATTTTTTTTGGGTTTTTATTTATTTATAAATATATTGAATTACCTTTTCTGAAGTGGGAAATCTTGTGTTAAATATTGTAATAATGAGAAGGATCGTCCTTATCTGGTGGTACATGACCAAATTAAATCAACAAGACATAGCTTCTATATGTGATCAAGCATCAAATTTACGTATGCTTGTTTGTATAGTCTTCAACTTTGTGGTTGTGAGGTGCTGACTGGTGATTGATCTGGACTATAGATCTGAATTCCCTAATTCCCAATATGGATCCCTCTCTTGAATCTGTTTGTGTCTATTTAAAATTCAGAATAAAGGGCTAGGGAAGGGGGAGGTGGTGACGGGGTGGGGTGGGTGACTATGTGGATGTCGGGGCTGGGTTTGAGAGAAGAGAGAGGAACAAAGAGAGAGGTGGGGGTGTCTTGAGAAGTTGTGTGGTGGGAGGGTGGTAAGGGTTGGTTGTTGGGTGGGTGATGTTGGGTAAGGTTGGAGTGGTGGTGGTGAGGGTGGCTTTGGGTTGGTTGGTGGTTGTGGTTTGATAGTGTGAAATTAGGGGAAGGGGAGGGGACCACAAACGAAAAAGATGGAGAAGAAGAGATTTTTTTAGTATTAATTTTTATCCTTTTTTATATTTTTTTATATATTAACAAGTAATTACATTTTTTAATTTTTTAATTTTAATTTTTTATTAATACTTTAGTCTACTTAAGTAGAAAAAAGGGGGCCTACATTTCACACATTATCACTTATGGTAAAAAGACTAAAACAGTCATGTCATGTCATCAAAATTGACGGAGTTATTAATGGAGATAACGGTAGGGGGCAAATTGGAACACCAAACCTTGGTCAAGGGGGTTAAGTGGGCCATTTTAATTGTTAGGGAATAAAGTGAGATTTGACCAAAGTTTCAGGGGGTACTACTGTAAATAACCTTACAAATTTTAACCACAAATACTCACTTTCCAGCACAAAAGTACTAAATTGCCCTCAACATAAATACATCAATATCCACTCTTTATCCCTTAAAAAATTCGTTCTCAGAATCTGAAACCAACCTCTCCCAATTCCTCTCCGCTGTCGAACCAAGGAAAACTGGAGGGCATTTGACAAGTTATTCGATGATTATCTAAACCTCAACTAGAAGAAGCTTTGACCACCACCTCATTTGTTGAAACGACGCCCCCGATAGCGTACATTGGGAAAAAAAACAAAAAGAAAAGAAAAGAAGTAGCAACAATAGCAACCCGCGACTCCTATTGCTACCAGGTCCCTCTTTTCTAGTTCCTCAAATTGCTTTTGCAAGTAACTCTATGTCTTGAGTCACTTTTCCTTTTCCCCTTCCCCTTCTCTGCAACTGGCAAAATCCAGTATGACTATTATTATATGTTCTCAATCCAACCACCAGCCACTTCTTCACACTCAATTCTCTAATTGGCTAGGCCATAAAAAAGATAGAAGTGTAAGAACAATAAAGCCCAAGTGTTCAATTAAGATAGGTAGGGTAATCCTAGAATTGCTGAACTTATCCAAATATGGCTTGTGTTATTTGATTAATATAAAAAATTTGAAGAAAAATTTGAAATTGTGATATTTTATAGGCTGCTTCAAGACCAGTGCGTGGCTTTGTTTTGTAATTGCCAATATATATATATATCCAATAAATTTGATGGCATGCAACCCTTGTTTGTAATTTTGAGTTTTAAGGTATTTGTCCCCTTCTTCAATACCCATAAAGCATTTTGCCCAAAATAACACGAAACATAAAAATCATATCTTAATTTTGTCTAGCGTAGAAATAGGTTAGTTAGGTCAGTTTTTCCCTCAATTTAGAAGCTTAAGTGTGAAATTTTAGGTCTTTGAATTGGATTTGATTGACATTCTGGGTTAAGTTAGTTTTGCTAAGAAATGAATATACCCTTATGATGGGGATGCAAATAGATTGATTTATTGATGTTATTTGCAGAAATGGATACTGTTGGAATATTGGTATTCTACAACGGAAGCTGGGTTCACAAGGATAACATTGAGAGTTATGAAGGTGGTGAGGCTAAAGGCATAATAGTATCACGGAACGTAACATTTTCTGAGCTTGTTGACCGCATTTATAAGATCACGAATGCAGATCGCTACAAATACATTGTCACACTGAAGTATTCTGTTCCTCTATCATCATCTGCCTATAAGCACCTAAAGGTTGAAGACAATGATGACATTCAATATTTTCTGAAGTACAACATGGATGTTATGACCTCTAAAGTAACCCCTTTATTAGCAACCCTCAAAATTATAGGAGGACATGGTATTCAAGGTTGTAATGGCATTGTAAGCATTGGGAGTAGCAATCCTCCCCCTGCAGTTGTTGTGAGACATAGGAATGAGGTAATTAGGGATAGTGGAACTTAAAATGGTGTAACTGGTTTTAATTAGAAAGATTAGGTTGAAGATGTTAATTTTGAATGTGTCGAAAACATAGTCGCAGATTTTTATGTGCGTAGCAACGAAGAGGAAGTGTACTCTACTCTAAACGTGCATCCTCATCGAGAAAGCAATTTCCAAGCCTCCACGGTGCAAGTTACACAAGTGCAATCTAAAACTCTACAACAATCAAGTTGGACTCAAATGCATACAAGCCAGGTTCATTTGGTGCATGGTAAGAGTGTGGAAGATATTGATTATGGTAGAGGTCTTTCTTGCATAAATTGGGAAGCAAATTTTAAGGTTGGACGAGTTTTTCCAAATAAGCTTGCCCTTATAAAAACCTTATGTTTAGCAGCAGTCATAGGCCATTTCGATTTAGAATAGTCCAATCAAGGAAATGTAGGTTGTGTGTTCGTTGTTGGCAACTTCCTTGCCCTTGGCCACTTCGGGCATATAAAGTTGGATTACATGAGTTTAGGGTTGTTAAATACGATCCATTTCATGAATGTGATCTAAGGCATCTTAATAGTCACCATCCTCAAGCTAGTACTAGATTGTTGTCTGACTCTATGAAACGAAGATTCAAGGATTCCCGCACCATTTATACTGCAGGTGATATCATCAAAGATGTGCGACAAATTTTGGTGTGACCATAATCTACTCTAAAGCTTGGAGAAGCCGAGTTAGCTTTAAAGATAATTAGAGGGTCTGCAGAAGAGTCATATGCTCTTCTCCCTTCCTATTGTTATGAATTGGAGTGTACAAATCCTGGAACTTTGACATACATTGAGACTGATGCAGCCAACCACTTTTTTTTTCTTTTTTTTAAATGTTAATTGGTGCATGCATAAGAGGATTTAAGTCCTTAATGCGTCATGTGATTGCTGTTGATGCTACCCATTTGAAGTGCAAGTACAAATGTGTTTTGTTTGTTGCCACTGCATTTGATGGAATTCGTAATATATATCATTTTGCCTTTGGGATTGGAGATTTGTTTGTTGCCACTGCAGCTTGGGAGTGGTTTTTTCACAAAACTACATTGTGCAAGTGGTGATTGCTCAAATCTTGTTGTCATATCTGATCGAAATCTTAGCATAGAAAATGGGTTGAAAAGAGTTTTTTCCTCAGGCAGCACATGGTATTTGCTTTTATCACTTGAAGGGCAATATGAAAGCCTCATTTAAGTTGAAGAAGCGGGATCCGATATTGGGGTTTTTGTGCGGGCAGCCAAGTTTTACCATCTAGCAGAGTTCAATCGTTATTTCTCCATGATAAACAACGAGCGAGTGCAAACTTATCTAGTACGTGCAGGGCTCCATAAGTGGTCTTGAGCCCATTGTGACAGATGACGATATAATGTCATGACAACTAATATTGCAGAGTTCATTAATTCAGTTCTTCGTTTGCAAGGATGCTTCCGATGGTACACTTGATAGAGGAAATTAGGAATATGCTTTAGAATTGGTTTAGTAAACGTCGAGATTTGTCAATGAAATATAAATCTATGGTGTGCCCTAATTTAGGCGAAAAGAAGTTGAGGAAGAGATTAGATGCTACTTCAAGGATGAATGTGGTTAAAATCAATGATGTGGAGTATAATGTGCTTGATGGTGATTTGAATGGTCTCGTGCACTTGTAAAACCATAGTTGTACGTGTAGGAAGTTTGACTCAGAGCAACTCTCGTGCAAGCATGCTATTGCGGTATGTCGGGACTTGAAATTGAATCCATACTCATTTACACTTGAGCTACATGGGCAGCTGCATATGCTGAATCCATTTATCCTGTACAACCTCAAGGGACATGGGTTATTCTCAAAAATGTCCAAAATGTAAATCTCCTCCCTCCTATTTCAAGGGTTATGCCGAATCATCATAAGACGCAAAGAATACCTTCTAAAGGAGAGCACTCACAAGAAAGAAAATGCTCAAGGTGCAGTGTGAAAGGCCACTATCGAAGTACATGCAAAGAAGCTATCCCCGTCACTAACAAGAAGCAGATCATTTAGATGTTACAATAGTTTAGTTTGTATGTCTCATTCCATTAAGTTGGGATCTTTGCTACCTGACTTTATGTACAATTTGTGTTCCTAACATGTCACTATTTTTGTTTTTGGAAATAGGTACCGAATTGTATAGATCATGATGCAGCTATTTGTAACATTTATTAAATGTGAATGTATGATGTTATGTGCATGATTGGTGTGGAAATGTGAAGTAGGTGGCTAGAAACTTAAATTGAACTGTGGTGAGGGCAGTGAATAAAGAGGCAATACAAAGAATTCAGTCTAACTACAATTTGTTGGCCAAGATAGACATGAAGAAAAAAAAAGTGCTAAGACTGGAATAGAGCTGCAATAGGAACACAATAAAAGGGAAATAAGAAGGCAATACGTAAACCTAGAAGTCCAACTTCAGCTTTATAATTGTCAAGATAGAGATGAAAAAAGAGTTAAGACAACAATAGAGGTACAATAGGAAAGCAATATAAGGGCAATAAGAAGGCAATACTTAAACTTGATAGTCTTTCAACTCTATAATTGAAAAGACAGAGGTGAAAAACAAGGTGCTAAGACAACAATAGAGAAGCAATAGGAACACAATAAAAGGCAATAAGAACGCAATACGTAAACATGATAGTCCAACTTTAACTCTATAATTGCAAAGACAGAGGTGAAAAAAAAAGTGCTAAGACAACAATAGAGGAGCAATAAGAACACAATAAAAGGCAATAAGAAGGCAATACGTAAACCTGACAATCCAATTTCAACTCTATAATTGCAAAGAGAGGTGAAAAACAAGGTGCCAAGATAACAATAGAGGAGCAATAGGGAGGCAATATAAGGGCAACAAGAAGGCAATACGTAAACTTGATAGTCCAACTTCAACTTTATAGTCGTCAAGACACATAGGTGAAAAAAGAGTTAAGACAACAATAGAGGCACAATAAGAAAGCAATAGAGGGCAATAACAATGCAATACATAAACTTGAGCTTATATTGCTAGGCTACTTATTAGCTAAACATATACATATGCAGTTTCTCTATCCACTCTAGTTTCATGGTTACTAATTCATGAGACCACAACTAATAAATAAGGAATAGCTGATCACATCAAAGCACAACTAATATCCAATTCCACTCATATTACAACAATGATTATGTGGTGGAACAAAACTGGTGTTGCATCTTCATTTCTCAAAGCCATCTTCTAGCCGTGTAGAAACCAGTAGCTTTTGTCCAATCTCGAACCTCCAAGTGATGAGTTGTGTTATGAAGGTGATATTCACTCGCATGTGTAGTTCCCCACTCCCCATTTCTGCAACATTCCCAATTGCTTTTTATTCACCAAAGTATGACAACAAAACTCAAGATTGAGAAAAGTGTAAGTATAAACATTAAGTTAAAGTTTGTGACTCTCTCACATTTGTAATTGGAATAATTTAGTTTATAACATTTGGTATTGTATGACCAAAGCTTCCTACATAAATTACAGTTCTTCTCACAAGACATTCATGCCCTCTTACATATGAAATTCCTACTGCAAACACAATCAAACCATTCAAACTTCATACTATGTGCATTGTACACCCCTTGGTTTCTATATCATACGAAATTAACTTGCCACATCCATAAAACCAATGCAAGAAAATGAAAATTGAGAATCAAAATATAGTTTTCTGTATCAATTGTCATCAATGACTATGAAAACTATGGGAATTCATAATATCCTAAACATTAATCACTTACTAGAAGACCAAATTTGGTAGCTATGCAACTTTAGCTTGACAATCACCTAGATAACCTACAAAATGAAAATGGAAAGTGCATAAAAATTCCTAAAGATCAGTTACTATCAAGTATGGTGTGTATAATCTATTAAGGGAATGACCAACTACAATATTATTGGACATTAATTGGAAACTTGATCAACGAAAGTTGATCATTATTTAGAAATTGGACATTATAATTTGGAAGCTTCATAAAAAAACTCAGCAAATTTCATTATTTATAATTGGACATTATTCACAACAGTTTTTGCAAAAATCAACTCAGCAAAGTCCATCGACAATCAGTATGTCCAAACTTTATTATAATTTTATAGCATTTTGAATCAAGACACAAAGACACAAAGACACAAATTAAGACTTACATACCGAGTAGAAGGATATAACATTGGACCCATGATACTGTGGCAATCAACACAAAACTATCAAAGTTCTGCAGAAAAGGGACCAATATTCACAAATAAAGAATGCCAGCAATTGAAACCCAATTAATTACTTGCAATTGGCGATCAATCTTTGTAGTTGGGTGGGTCATTTGGTGGCTTACTAATTATGTAACTCGTTGGAAAAAAAAATTATCACAGAGTTAGGAACAAATCTAAAGACAACAAATGCAAAAGTTTTGAGTTGAATATGAGTTGTAATATTAGGAACCCTAACGACTTAATTGTGCAAACTTAAATTACTTATTTTGACAAAATAATGAAATAAAAGTACATAAAAAGAAAAACAAGAAAACTAGGGATTGAGAAGAGAGAAGATTGTCATTACCATTCTCTAGAAATTTTGAAAACGACCTTCTTGCGTTATGCCTTTCTTCCAGATGTGCTATAATGCTATGAATTGATTCGCCATTCTAAATGTGTGATGGGGACAACAGAGGACTGCGAGAAGGAAGGAAGAGTTGGGAGGAATTGGGTTTCAGAGAAGGATGGTCAATATAATATCTCTTTATATGAAGGGCAGTTTAGTACTTTCACATGAGGAAGTGAGTATTTGTGGTTGATATTTGCAAAGTGAGTGAGTATTCTTGATTAAGATTTCGGGAAATTGACTTGGATAATCACAAAAGATAAACCATAATCAAATATATTCACTTTATAAATTTCAATCAGAAATACTCACTTTGTAACATGAAAGTACCCAATTGCCCTCCATATAAATACATTTGTATTGACCCTTTATCCCATCAAAAATTCATTTTCTGAAACCCAACTCCTCTCCACTCTCGCACTCTCCCAAATCTTGCTTAGCCATGACTTCATAGAAAACAGAGAGAGTAACGGCCATGGCGATGACGTCGATGGATTCTCCAAAGTCTGACCTGGACACCGACATTGAGCTCATTACCAATCCAAACCTTAACCCTAACCCTACTTCTTCAAACCCTCCCCGCCTCCTACAATGGCCCTGCTGTCTGCCTTCTCAAGTTTGGCGGAGACTCCGCTGGTGGGGCATTCATGGGCTCCATTTTTCGCTACAGTCCTCTCTCCCCCTCCCTCTCCCTCTCCCTCTCCCTCTCCTTCTCTCTCTCTCTCTCTCTCTCTCTCTCTCTCTCTCTCTCTCTCTCTCTCTCTATATATATATATGTTTATATATGTATACATGCGTATGGAGTGTTATGCTTTAATTGCTTAATTGTGGTGTTTCTATATGGGAATTTGAGTGGTGCTGATATAGGATTTTGAGTGTTTGACAAAATATGATTTTCGTTAATAGTGTTTTGGGCTTTGCGAAAGGGAGTTAATTTTCTCTTTCTGACTAACGAGCTGTTGGAGTTTTTGTTGAGGTTTGTTTAGTGTTGCTAATGGTTGAGGTATGCTAGTGTTTTGAGATGTGAAATTGTGGTTTTCTCTAATGGTTGAGGTATGATAGTCTTTTGTATTTTTCAGTTCGTATCATGTGGGTTTCTATTGAGTATTGATATAGTGATTCTTAATATGCTTCCGGATATGTTTTCTGCTGAAATTCCTTATATGAAGTGTATGAATTTTGAATTCGAAATTGTTGCATTTGCCTTATCAAAACCTGATATGGATGCAAATAGGTCTTGTTGCTATTGATTTTATTATTTATCAGAACATGGGAAAGCTGAAAATAGGTATCTTCATGAGATCCTTGACCAAAATTTGAAGTATTGCAAGAGCATTAAGTAGACCTCCCCTGATATATACTGCTTCAGAAAATTTTGGTTGTTCTGTTCACTATTGCCTTCTTTAGGAAGCTTATAAATTACATGTGGAGCTTCTTGAGTCAAACAATTCCACATTACCCCATTATTGTTCTGTGTATTACTGTTATGGATGTTGTTTGGTTATATTGATTAAGTTCACCCTTTGAGGTGTTTTGATGTCTGGTTCTGTGCCTCTTATTTTGTTTGACAATTTCTTTGTGCTTTATGTGTTCCACTTTTTGCGATTTTCTCTTGTTGGTGTTCTAGGTTCGGAAGCTCCTTGCCAATTTGTCTAGGAATTTTGTATGTAATAGGGCATGAATGTCTTGTGAGAAGAATTGTAATTTATGTAGGAAGCTTTGGTAATACAATAACAAATGTTAGAAACTAAATGATTCCAATTACAAATGTGAGAGAGTCACATACTTTAACTTAATGTTTATACTTGCACTTTTCTGAATCTTTAGTTTTGTTGTCATACTTTGGTGAATAAAAAGCAATTGGGAATGTTGCAGAAATGGGGAGTGGGGAACTACACATGCGAGAGAATATCACCTTCATAACACAGCTCATCACTTGAAGGTTCGAGATTGGACAAAAGCTACTGGTTTCTTCACAGTTAGAAGATGGCTTGAGAAATGAAGATGCGCCACCAGTTTTGTTTCACCACATAAACATTGTTGTAATAGGAGTGGAATTGGATATTAGTTGTGCTTTGATGTGATCAGCTATTCCTTATTTATTAGTTGTGGTTTCATGAATTAGTAACCATGAAACTAGAGTGGATAGAGAAACTGCATCTGTATATGTTTAGCTAATAAGTAGCCTCGCAATGTAAACTCAAGTTTATGTATTGCGCTTTCTTATTATGCCTCTATTGTTGTCTTAACTATTTTTTCACCTCTGTCTTGACAATTACAAAGCTAAAGTTGGACTAAGAGGTTTACGTATTGCCTTCTTAGCACTTTGTTTTTCACCTCTCTTTGCAATTATAGAGTTAAAATTGGACTTAGGTTTACGTATTGCCTTCTTATTGCCCTTTTATTGTGTTCCTATTGCTCCTCTATTGTTGTCTTTGCAATTATAGAGTTGAAAGACTATCAAGTTTAAGTATTGCCTTCTTATTGCCCTTATATTGCTTTCCTATCGTACCTCTATTGTTGTCTTAACTCTTTTTTCACCTCTGTCTTGACAATTATAGAGCTGAAGTTGGACTTCCAGGTTTACGTATTGCCTTCTTATTGCCCTTTTATTGTGTTCCTATTGCTCCTCTATTGTTGTCTTTGCAATTATAGAGTTGAAAGACTATCAAGTTTAAGTATTGCCTTCTTATTGCCCTTATATTGCTTTCCTATCGTACCTCTATTGTTGTCTTAACTCTTTTTTCACCTTTGTCTTGACAATTATAGAGCTGAAGTTGGACTTCCAGGTTTACGTATTGCCTTCTTATTGCCCTTTTATTGTGTTCCTATTGCTCCTCTATTGTTGTTTTAGCACATTGTTTTTCACCTCTGTCTTTGCAATTACAAAGTTGAAAGACTATTAAGTTTAAGTATTGCCTTCTTATTGCCCTTATATTGCTTTCCTATTGTACCTATATTGCTGTTTTAACCCTTTTTTCACCTCTGTCTTGACAATTATAGAGCTAAAGTTGGACTTCCAGGTTTACGTATTGCCTTCTTATTGCCCTTTTATTGTGTTCCTATCGTTGCTCTATTGCAGTCTTAGCACTTTTTTTTTCCTTAATGTATGTCTTGGCAAACAAATTGTAGTTAGACTATGAATTCTTTGTATTGCCCCTTTATTCCACTGCCCTTGTATTGCACCACAGTTCAATTTAAATTTCTAGCCACCTTCTTTACGTGTCTACACCAATCATGCACATAAACATCATACATACACATTCAATAAACACTACTACAAAAAAGGAAAAACACGACGGGAATTCACCGTCGTGTATTCTGTTTTCAAATGGTCGTGGAATCCACCGACATCTTTTCCATAACCAAACCACGACGGTGAATAACCGTCGTTGTTAAAACAAAAAACGTCATCAAAAATTAAAAACCGACGTCTTTGTTTGCAAAAAGACATAAAAAAAACAGTCGAGGATGAGAATAGACGACCAACTCCAACAAAAAAACGTCGTTAAAAAGGAAAGAGATGACATATATTAACAGAACATGGCCGCAAGATAAACATACAACGACGAGAACTTACTACTTCACGCCGTTAAATAAATATTTAACGACAAATATAAATACGACGTCTTTACAATAATAATAGACGACGTTATTGACACCTACTACGTCACAACATTTCCCACAACCGTCGTAAAATAAATTTTCCACTTCGATTTTTCTATGAATTATGACGTGGAAATAGATGTCAGGGTCATTACTTACGACGCATGTATTTACAGAGACGACGTTGAATTGGATAAATAACGTCGGTTTCAAATAAATGAGAGCCGTATTACAGAATTTATACGTCATATTTTGAAAATAAACGACGTGGAAAAAATGATGGGGTCATTAATTACGACACAGTAATTTATAAGGACGACGTTGTCCTCTATATACAACGTCGGTACCATGAAAAAGACCGTCGTGTTTAATAATTTGTACGTCTTCATTTAAAAAATTGACGTCGTCTAATGCATATATCTTAACGTCGACAAGTTTAATGGACTTCAAATACCGTCGTAAAATAAATTTTCCACTTCGATTTTTCTACGAATTATGACGTGGAAATAGATGTCAGGTTCATTAATTACGACGTATGTATTTACTGAGACGACGTTGAAATGAATAAACAACGTCGGTTCCAAATAAATGAGAGCCGTATTACAGAATTTATACGTCATATTTTGAAAATAAACGACGTGGAAAAAATGATGGGGTCATTAATTACGACACAGTAATTTATGAGGACGACGTTGTCGTTTATATACAACGTCGGTACCATGAAAAAGACCGTCGTGTTTAATAATTTATACGTCTTCATTAAAAAATTAACGTCGTCTAATTCATAAATCTTAACGTCGACAAATTTAATGGATTTCAAATACCGTCGTGAATTCATCCTTTTCCACTTCGTTTATGAAAGAACATGCGACGTGGTAAATTCATGACGACGTCGTCTTTTGTAACGTTCAGGTTAAAGTTCTCGTCTTTTAGACGTCGGTGTTATGGGATTGGAGACGTGTTATGTTGAATTACATGGCGGTTCTTTATCAAAACCGTCGTGTTTGTAATCTGGAACCAGTAATTTTTGTACTGATTGTTTTGTGGCCAAAACCTGTATAATGAATGAAAGTGAAGAAATCACATTACAATATATTACAAAATTAATGTCATACACTGCCAATTACATAAAGCATCATTCAACCCATATATCTTCACACCCATCTCGAATATTTTGACTCCCTAACTCAACCACCACTTCATCAAATGTGTCAACATTTGGCATCCCCCTAGTAAATGGCTCACACTCAATTCTCACATCACCTAAGACATCATCACCAATAACATCATTATATTCTCTATTAGGCATTGATAACACTACCGACCAACCACGATGCATCGGGTCGTCAACAAAAAATACTTGTTTGACTTGAGAAGCCAAAACAAATTGGTCATTCCTATGTCCAATTTTACTCAAATCTACAAGGGTAAATCCAAGTTCGTCCACTACAAGACCAGAAGTATTATCAATCCAATCACACCTAAAGACTGGGATTGTAAACTTTTGGTAGTCAAGGTCCCAAATTTCTTGAATGACACCATAGAAACCCATATTTGAGAGAATTGGGTTTTTATCCTTGGCACTAGCAACTTGCATAGTATGTGCAAGTAAATAAACTCCACTATTTTGAGTTGTCCGCACATCATCTTGTGCCTTGATGTTGAATTTAATACCTTTAATGAGATAGCTCCTATATAATGGCACTGCCATGTTTGGACCAGCTGCTAGCCACCTTAAATTTTCTGATACGCCATGATTGTCCTCATTAAGTTCACTTTGAACCTGCAAATTAATCATAACTTAATTCAATCTAACATAGAAAGAAGAAAATTAAAAGTCCAATATGTTATTCAATAACATATACCTTCAAGCGTAGCCATTGAATGAAAGTGCTATTGTGCTTATCCTGCAGCCACTTTGTTCTCTTTCTAAATTTTGGATAAGCGGTCTGGATGTGGATCATATGTTGCCTACATGACACACAAAATTCAAGTATTACGGTCCCAAACATATAAGATAAACATAAGAAATAATTTAAAATGGAAACTTAAAGAATAAAACTCATACGTACTCGATATAAGGTAGGACTTCCTCCGTATTCTCCAAGACATATAGATGTGCTTGGTTCAACAGGTCCCGATCAACTACGCTCACTGTGCAACCTGATAATGGCTTTGAAACTCCCATCTTTTGGCTTGAAGGCACTCCAACTGTACTAACATCAGATAAATGCTCGGTACAAAACTCTACAGCTTCTTCAGCTATATACCGCTCAGCAATGCAACCTTCGGGACGAGTACGATTCTGAACATACCCCTTTAGCACTTTCATATATCTTTCAAACGGATACATCCATCTAAAATATACTGGCCCACACAGACGAACTTCTCTGACAAGATGTACTACTAGATGAACCATGATATCAAAGAATGAAGGGGGAAAGTACTTCTCAAGCAAACACAAAGTAACTACTACATCTTCTTCCAACTTATCTAGCTTGGAAACATCAACAGGTCTTTGCACATATAGCATTGAAGAAGAAGCACAAACGAGTTATTGCATACTGAGGCTTCTCCAAAACCAGAACGAATTGCCACAGGGAGCAATTGTTGCATTAAGGGTAGACAATCATGTATTTAAGGCCAAGAAGTCTTTGACTTGTAAAGATACAAGATTTTTTTATATTTGAAGAATAACCTTCAGGGACCTTCATACCATAGAAAGAATTGCAAACCTCTCTCTTCTCTGCTCTTGACAAATTTCGAGGCCCGGGGCAAACAGTACGTCTTTCTTCCATACTCGGGTTGCAAATCGTTTTTGACCCCCATGTTTCAATAAATCTAATCGAGCAGCAATCCCATCTTTATTTTTTCCAGGGATCTCCAGCAATGTACCAATGATACTATCGCAAACATTCTTCTCAATGTGCATAACATCTAGGACATGCCTCACAGGAAGGTATTTCCAATACTCGAGATCAAAGAATATTGATTTCTTCTTCCAACAAACTCTGTCACCATCTTCAACCATATGCAGCACTTCTTCTCCGGTTAATGGCTCAGGAGGTGTGCCATATTCAGGTTTCCCATTAAAAGCTGCACGTTGCCTCCTATATGGATGATTGATCGGTAACCATTTTCTATGCCCAATGTAACAAATTTTGTGGCCATTTTTCAACCTGTGACTAGGTGTATCATCGCCGCATATTGGACAAGCTTTATATCCTTTAACAACACAACCAGATAAGTTTCCATAGGCGGGGAAATCATTAATTGTCCACATTAATGCAGCTCTGAGTGTAAAGTATTCTCCATTATGTGCATCATACACTCCTCCAATCCCATCCCACAAAGATTTTAAATCATCAATCAAAGGCTCCAAGTAGACGTCTATATCATTTCCGGCTGTTTAGGACCGGAAATCAATAAGGTCAACATCATGAACTTTCGTTTCATGCACAGCCATGGAGGGAGATTATATGTAACTAAGATAACTGGCCAGCAACTATATCTGCTACTTAGAGAACTGTGGGGATTGAATCCATCAGATGAAAGAGCCAATCTCAAGTTTCTTGGCTCATTACCAAACTCGGGCCATTTATCATCAAGAAGTTTCCAAGACGGGGAATCCGCTGGATGAGACATATAACCGTCAATTGATTTTCTAGCAGCATGCCAAGTCAAACTCTTAGCGGTCTCATGTGATCGAAACATCCTTTTAAACCTTGGAATTGGAGGAAAATACCACACCACCTTCGCTGGCACACCCTCTTTCAAGATTGAATCTTTGCCTTCCTTCCACCTTGAGATACCACAATTAGGACAATGAGTTAAATCCTCATACTCCTTCCTATACAAGATGCAATCATTGGGGCATGCGTGCATTTTCTCATAACTCAGCCCCAATGCACACAAAGTCTTTTTTGCCTCATACATAGAGGCCGGTATTGTATTTCCTTCTGGAAGCAAATCGCCTTGAAGTATCAATAATTCTGTAAAACAGACATCACTCATCCCATATTTTGCCTTCAAATTATACAACTTCACTAATGCCGATAACTTCGTGTACTTTCTACAACCAGGGTACAATGGTTGATCTCCATCCCCAATCACATTGGCAAACTCATAAGGATCAGATCCAAAATCACCAAAATCATTATCATCCATCTCTATTTCTTCAGACACAAAACTGTACCTACTATGGTCATCATCTTCTTCAACATTTCTACTACATTAGTAGCTGCTTCCCAAGGTTCTCCGTGAAATGTCCAATTCTTATAGCTTTGGTCAACTCCATTAAAGTATAAGTGATCCCTTATAATTCCAACCCCAAACAATTTCAAATTAACACATTTAACACATGGACAACGGATATGTGTGGTAGTTAGAAGATTTTCTACAGAAAAGTTCAAAAATGCTTCCACCCCTAACTCATATGCCTTCGATCTTCTATCCGAGTGCATCCATGACTTATCCATCTCCGACACTATACCCTATTATATATAATAAAGTGAAAAGACAAGCAATGACCATCACTATAGCAGATTATATAAAGTCTAATAGCAAGTAATATACAACAGAGACGACGGTTTTTAAACAAAAACAGACGTCTTTGACATATATAGACGACGGATTTTACGTCGTCTAATTATAACCACGACGGTAGTTAAATAACACCGTCGTGTATAAGTAATAAAAACGACGGTTTAAAGTAAAAACCGTCGTCGTATGCCTGAAAACGCGTCGATATCCAGTTTCATTTTCAAGATCCCAAAACCCTATTAAGAACACAACATAGACATGAAACCAAGCAAGAAACCAACATATACATGAAACCAACATATACTAAGCATGAAAACAATAAATCCATTCCCAATTCAACATAACAGAGAGTGATTAAAAGATCCGACAAAATGAAATCCATTCCATATTCAACATAACAGAGTGATCAAGAAAACATTAAACAGACAATCCATGAACCCCATACCTCCAACAACATTATTAACAGATCGCAAAACATATACCTAAAACCCTTTAACAAAACAACGTAATATATCATTCAATGAATTTACAAGGGGAAGAGAGGGTTTGTACTTACAGGTTGGCAGAGCTCACAGATTATGACCAAATTGGATTTGACACAGCCTGGCCCAACTTTGAATTAGAGATGAAGTGAGAGAGCGAAATGTTATGTTGCGCGAAATCAGAAAATTTTAGGGTTCAGGGTTACAAGTATAAAAATAAGAGCCAAATCTGAAAATTTTAGGTCCCGCGAATATTTTAAGAAAGCGCGCTTTTAAAACATCGACCGAAAAAACAAGCGTCGTTAAAATTTAACATTAAACATGACGCTTATTACATTAAGGACGTCGTGGTAAAACTATGTGCCACGCAAAATCAAAAAGGCGTTAAAACTATGAAAAACCACGGCGGGTTAAGTAACTAACGACGTTGTAAATAATAATAAACGACTAAAAGGTAAACAAAACGTCGTTTAAAAAGAAACCACGTCGGATTTTTCACCATACGACGTAAACTCAATATTCCACGACTCAATCACCGTCGTTAAAAGTAATACCCTAAACTTTAAAACCATAAATTATATATTTGTAAAATTTAATTTTATAAAATTGTTTATGGTTTTACATCCTAATAAATAACAAGCATAAACCCTAAACCCCAAAAATTATACTTTAACCATAAACCCTAATAAATAACAACCCTAAACCCCAAACCCTAAACCCTAAACCATCAAACTATATAAGTGATGCTATGACTCATAACAACAATTTTATTTTGGTTGGTCATTTTAAACTTTTATTACACAAACTGCATTTTTTTGGGGTTTAGGGGGAAGAAAATATATCAATGACTTCATAGGAGTTGAAGTTGAATTTTTTGAATTTATTTTAAATTTATTTTTAAAATTTTGAATTAAAAATAATAAAATATTCTTATATCAACAACAAACCACGGCGGGGTTAAGTAACTAACGACGTTGTAAATAATAATAAACGACTAACAGGTAAACAAAACGTCGTTTAAAAAAGAAACCACGTCGGATTTTTCACCATACGACGTAAACTCAATATTCCACGACTCAATCACCCGTCGTTAAAAGTAATACCCTAAACTTTAAAACCATAAATTATATATTTGTAAAATTTAATTTTATAAAATTGTTTATGGTTTTACATCCTAATAAATAACAAGCATAAACCCTAAACCCCAAAAATTATACTTTAACCATAAACCCTAATAAATAACAACCCTAAACCCCAAACCCTAAACCCTAAACCATCAAACTATATAAGTGATGCTATGACACATAACAACAATTTTATTTTGGTTGGTCATTTTAAACTTTTATTACACAAACTTCATTTTTTTGGGGTTTAGGGGGAAGAAAATATATCAATGACTTCATAGGAGTTGAAGTTGAATTTTTTGAATTTATTTTAAATTTATTTTTAAAATTTTGAATTAAAAATAATAAAATATTCTTATATCAACAACAAACCACGGCGGGGTTAAGTAACTAACGACGTTGTAAATAATAATAAACGACTAAAAGGTAAACAAAACGTCGTTTAAAAAAGAAACCACGTCGGATTTTTCACCATACGACGTAAACTCAATATTCCACGACTCAATCACCGTCGTTAAAAGTAATACCCTAAACTTTAAAACCATAAATTATATATTTGTAAAATTTAATTTTATAAAATTGTTTATGGTTTTACATCCTAATAAATAACAAGCATAAACCCTAAACCCCAAAAATTATACTTTAACCATAAACCCTAATAAATAACAACCCTAAACCCCAAACCCTAAACCCTAAACCATCAAACTATATAAGTGATGCTATGACACATAACAACAATTTTATTTTGGTTGGTCATTTTAAACTTTTATTACACAAACTGCATTTTTTTGGGGTTTAGGGGGAAGAAAATATATCAATGACTTCATAGGAGTTGAAGTTGAATTTTTTGAATTTATTTTAAATTTATTTTTAAAATTTTGAATTAAAAATAATAAAATATTCTTATATCAACAACAAACCACGGCGGGGTTAAGTAACTAACGACGTTGTAAATAATAATAAACGACTAAAAGGTAAACAAAACGTCGTTTAAAAAAGAAACCACGTCGGATTTTTCACCATACGACGTAAACTCAATATTCCACGACTCAATCACCGTCGTTAAAAGTAATACCCTAAACTTTAAAACCATAAATTATATATTTGTAAAATTTAATTTTATAAAATTGTTTATGGTTTTACATCCTAATAAATAACAAGCATAAACCCTAAACCCCAAAAATTATACTTTAACCATAAACCCTAATAAATAACAACCCTAAACCCCAAACCCTAAACCCTAAACCATCAAACTATATAAGTGATGCTATGACACATAACAACAATTTTATTTTGGTTGGTCATTTTAAACTTTTATTACACAAACTGCATTTTTTTGGGGTTTAGGGGGAAGAAAATATATCAATGACTTCATAGGAGTTGAAGTTGAATTTTTTGAATTTATTTTAAATTTATTTTTAAAATTTTGAATTAAAAATAATAAAATATTCTTATATCAACAACAAACCACGGCGGGGTTAAGTAACTAACGACGTTGTAAATAATAATAAACGACTAAAAGGTAAACAAAACGTCGTTTAAAAAAGAAACCACGTCGGATTTTTCACCATACGACGTAAACTCAATATTCCACGACTCAATCACCGTCGTTAAAAGTAATACCCTAAACTTTAAAACCATAAATTATATATTTGTAAAATTTAATTTTATAAAATTGTTTATGGTTTTACATCCTAATAAATAACAAGCATAAACCCTAAACCCCAAAAATTATACTTTAACCATAAACCCTAATAAATAACAACCCTAAACCCCAAACCCTAAACCCTAAACCATCAAACTATATAAGTGATGCTATGACTCATAACAACAATTTTATTTTGGTTGGTCATTTTAAACTTTTATTACACAAACTGCATTTTTTTGGGGTTTAGGGGGAAGAAAATATATCAATGACTTCATAGGAGTTGAAGTTGAATTTTTTGAATTTATTTTAAATTTATTTTTAAAATTTTGAATTAAAAATAATAAAATATTCTTATATCAACAACAAACACGACGTTGTAAATAATAATAAACGACTCACATGTAAAAAGGACGTCGTTTAAAAGAGAAACCATGGCGGATGTTTCACCATCTGACGTAAAATAGATATTCCACGACCTAATCACCGTCGTTAAAAGGTATTAACCTAAACCCTAATGAACGACTTACTTGTTCAAAAGGACGTCGTTTAAAAACGAAACCATGGCGAAATTTTCATCAAAACGACGTCCCATGTACGTCCCATCTTGTCTAAATATCATTTTACGTCGGTTTTTTACATAATTATGTCGTTGGAAAGTTATTACACGTCGGTTACGCAATTTGTTTTTTCTTTTATAATATGAAAACCTCAGCAAATTTTCAGGGAAAAAAAGGATGTATATTATAGACAAAATTTGTACATTATATATTATAGACAAAATTAGTACATAAAAAATATCAAGTGTTCCAAAAATCCTCTAATCCATATGAAGGCAAACAAACTCTGCCCATTCTTTCCTGACTTCATCAATGGCTGCTTGGGGGTATGGCGCTTGATCTTTTCCCTTGGCAAACTGCAATCCATAAACAATGATTATTAAGCTTTACAAAATAAAAAGAAATTCAGACACAGACGACGTTTTTTTTCATAACCGACGTAGTCTATCGATTCAACGACGGTAATTTTAAATGACCGTCGTTGATAATACAAAAAACCACATAAAATGTTTCTGAAAATTTTATTCTTACCTTCTTCTCAAACTCCAAGGAAGGATCCATGATGATGTCCCTCATGAAGCGCATCACATAATACCCGCATTCGACACTGCTGGGTTGCTTTGGTGTGCCTGGCAGAGTTTTCCAAATTGGTGCTTTACGGCCTGGTCTGCCTATGTGGGAATTATAAATTTTTAAAGCACTGTTCACGATGTTTTTGCCCTCCTCATCAACCACACGATTTCCAGGCAGAGGATCCAGAAAATAGACGGTTTCCCTCTTTGCCCTCACAATCAGCAAGACCCAATGACGGCTG